GGTATAACCTATTGTGGTGATCTGCAAGTAAGGAAAATGACAAATAATAAGAAATAAAAAGTATTATTATTCCATTATATCATAGTGATGGTGTTGGTTGTAGTGGTACATTTCTGACAGCTTATTCTCAAATAGAAAGAGCTAAAACTGAAGGAGTGTCTGATATATTTCAATTCATTAGGAAAGCAAGGAGCCAGAGACCAGGACTGGTTGATTGTTTGGTAAGATATGAATAAAATACTTCTAGAATTAGAAATACATTATATATTTTTAGGATCAGTACATTTATTGTCATGAAATAATTGCAGATTTTGCTGAAGATATGTCCCAATATGACAATTTCAAACGTTACATTTGAACAAATAAAATTAGCTAGACTAAGTTTAGTTATGTATTGTCATCAGGTAGATTTAGACCTTGACATTAGCTTTGTCATTATTTTACATAATTATTGTATTAAATACTTTTAAACTGATAAAAAAGATCCTGTCTAATTATCTTGTTTACTGATTTGAGACTGTTTTAAAATAACATTTTCATTTGTTTGAATATACACATGTAGATTGGGATATCTGACTAATATAAACATTCCACCTCCTCCTGACATTAAATAAAATAACATCGTTTAGCTGTAAACACCATCTGCTGATTTCTCATTAAATATGGTATTGTATATTAATTGATTTATCTCATTTATACAATACTATTAACATAATCTCTTTTTTATTTTTGTCATTTACATTTGTACTTGTGTTTTTAGGCTATGAAGATGTTAAAAGATGGTTGTGATGTTAGTGAAGCAATTACTGTAGCTATTAGTGTACTGGAGGTATGCAATAGTGGGGGAAACTTTTGACAATTCTATTATTAGTAGTAGTAGTAGAGAAAGCAAAGGAGGTATATTTGGATCATATTGAGGGATTGAGAAGTGAAGATCCAAAGGAAGGAAGTGAACAATGTGCTGCTAAAAGAAGAAAAGTCAATGATAGCCAAGTTAGCAATGTACATATATATATGGTACAATGTACATGTGTGTGCATGTACTGCCTAGTATTAATGTTATCTTATTTTCATGTAACAGCTGTTTTAAGTTAGATCGTTAATAGCTTGAAGAATAGGACAAGTAATGAGAAATGATTAAAGATGTTGCTAAAGATTGAATTACAGTTTAATATTATTAGCTAATAGAAGTAGCTACATATTATTTATCATAAAGAGTGACTTATAATACAACTTGCATGTATAGTGCTGATGTTTTGTAACATTCAATTCTCTAATGCATTGAAAGCTACAAGTTGTTTACACACAAGCATTGCATTGTGTTTTGAAATGTACAATGTCAGTGTTTGAATGGTATAGTATTAGAAAATTCACATTGCTTTTACTTATTGATACAAGTACATGGGTGACATTTTCATTGTTACAATTCTTATAATAATTATTAATAGGCTGGTGTGTATGAATGTGGTTGCTGGGCCAAGAGACACAGTGACTCATCACAGATAGCATCCAGTGCTTCAGGTACATGCATCCTTAGTAATACTATACTGATTTATGTTGCTAATGGTATTATTGCATTTAAGGTGGAGCTTTAGTTTATGGAATTGGTTTAAATTCAGACTGTGCACTGCACAACTTTATTTTTTGGCACAATGGAGGTTTGGTTCTTCTCTTTTGTATTAGTTTTTGGAATATCCTTTGCAAGTGCTGAAAGTAAGCAATGGTGTATTACTGATTGTGTCTAATTTTCTGGTAGATGCATGCAGTACAATCAGTTTGTCATATAATGAAAGCATTGAAGTAGATGTTGGTTTTTGTCTAACCTTTCAATGTACACTAAATGATACAGTACAGTGGAAACTGGATGGAACTGATATCAATAATGATGATGCTTATTACAATATCAATACTACTAGTGGTACACTGACGATACAAGAAGTGAGGAGCACTGATACTGGAAACTATACTTGTGATTTAGAAAGCACCTTTTTATATGTGAAAAGTAAATAATCCTTTACAGTATTGATTTATCCTCTCCTATTTAGTTCCAAATATTACCATTATTGGTCAATACACTAACCTCACTGTTGGTAGTAGTGTCAGCATTAACTGTACTACAATGCCCTCTATCTCTAACAGTGAGATACATTGGGATCCACCATCATTCAATATAACTAATAGTAATGTACTGGTCATTAATCCAGTAATGCTTTCTCATAATAGCAACACATTCACTTGTACAGTATCATCAGATTTACTGGCTATGAACCTGACAGAGTCTATTACTATTAGTGTATTAGGTTAGTTGATGATAGTATATTAGTTATTAATGTTTATTACAGATACCAGTGTCTCATCTGTTACTGTACAATCATTATCCTCTTATGTTATTGGTGATGATGTATCAATAGTGTGTACTATTAGTCTCACTAATGCTATTGGTCCTGATGTTTCTTCACTTGTAGTGAACTGGTTTAAAGACAATGAAATGACAACAGATGATATCAATAATATTAATGGGTCATCATCAACATTTAATAGTATCCTGACATTAACACAGGTTGTACGAAATAATGCTGGAGTATATACTTGTAATGCATCAATTAATGGATCTAATAGTGTATTGTCTGATTCAAAGCCTTTGTGTTTAAAAGGTATGCATACTAGTAATGTCATTTTAGTAATAATGCTTCTTTGTTTAAAAATCTAGTTCCTTTTAATCAAAACACTGATAGTTTCACAGACCTATCACTGGGATATAATGCAACAGTACAGTGTGTGAATCTCTCATCCCTCAATGGAATTACCATAAGATCCATAAGTTGGACTGATCCAGATGGTTATATTATTGGTAACAATAGTTCAGATGATGCTCCTATCAGTGACAATAATACATTAATACTACCTAATGTGGTACCATCACTTAATAACACTGAATATACCTGTACTGCTGAAGTGGACACCAACCCAGCAACTTGTTTACCAGAAAACAAGACATTCACTATTGATACTAAAAGTATTGTAATTATTGAATTAATGTCATTTTAATTTTAAATTATGTAGGGACATATGTTAACTCAATTATCATTCCTATTCGACTACCATCAGTGATCAATTCATCATTAACAATTGAGTCTATGATTGTTCTTAATATTCCAGTTGGTCCTGGTATACAACCAACTGTCACTTGGTATCATGATATGACTAATGTTACACACTATAGTTCATTAGTGAGGGACTTTGATATTCTCTTTAATTCACTACTAACTATTGATTCAATACAAGCATCTGATGCTGGAGTATATCATTGTAGTGCTGGGATTGATTCTAATGTAACTACTAACAATATCAGTATATGTGTAACAGGTAATGTATTAGACAACAGTGTATTAATTTTTAACAACATTCTTCATTCAGTTAATGAGACACTACCATCAGAAACTGATGAACTATCACTTGGTCAGTATTATTCAATTGATTGTATCACTGGAACAGTACCTACTGGAGTATCAGTATCCTGGCTACTTACTAATGGTTCTATTAATAGTAACAATAATACACTAATGATACCATCAATACTACCATCACATAATGATACACAATATAACTGTACAATAATGATTGAGACTAATCCTTCTGACTGTAGTAGCATTCAATCACAGACCATTACTTTTAGAGTGAAAGGTAAGATTCTAGGAATAATCATTGTAATATTTATTTATTGTTATGTCTGCAGCTACTTACATCAGTTTAGTGACTATAACACCCACTCCAATAGTCGATTTCATTAACTCTTCAGTAGTACTGACCTGTACTATTAATCTTAATACTGGGATAGGTCCTGATACATCATTCATTAGTCATTACTGGTATAAAAATGTCACTGATATTAGTGATAGGAGTACACAACTGACTATTATTGAAAAAAGTCAAGTAGAATCAACACTAATTATTGATGATTTACAACTTTCTGATGCTGGAAAATATCAGTGTAGAGCTAGTATTGATGGTAATAATACTGTTATAAATAGTACAGCAGATCTTTGCCTTCAAGGTTAGTTCATTATGAGAATCAAAATAATTATTGTATAAATGTCTTCATTTTAGTTCCTGCTGAGACTTTTATTTTTGATAATGATGTAAGACTAGGAGATATTAGAGAGTATGATTGTGCACCAACTTTTAAACAGCCAGGAGTAACTGTGAAATGGATAAAAACCATATCCGGCACAATATTGAATAATCCTCTCAAATTAATTGTAATCAACAATGCAAATTATACATGTAACATCATGATAAATAACAACCCAGCAAACTGTCCTACTCAACAAGTGTACTTATCAATCACAGTAACAGGTATAATCAGTACATATTTATGCATAACATACATAATTTTAATAGATACATCTATAAGGACAGTGGTAACTAATATTGACTCATTAATTTTATCAAATACTACTCAACAGTTGGAGTGCCATATTAGTACTAACACTGATATTAACACTA